AGAGAATCGTCCTGTTGAGTCTGAAATAACAGGTAGTGCCACTGATTTCCGCCATGTTGAATGTCCTGCATTGAAGCTAATACTACCAACGGTTATCAATGCTGTTGTTCATTTCGAATATCACACTACTGGCGTTTCATTCCTCTGCTTCTGCGCTGCCATCGCAGCCGCCATCGCCACCGCGCGCAGCCGCCGAAGATCTGCGCATTGGCGCGTGAAGATGGCTGTCGGGCAATTGCTCATTGAAGTGGCCGGGAACCGGAGGCAGACAAAGGCGGCAATGGGAGACGTGACGATGGTGTACGGGGTAGACAGGTTGCAAATGGAGAGATGGCAGGAGAAGTGAATGGAGAGGAGGTGGAAGAGGCGGAGGAGATGATGAGCGAGAAGTGGACAAGCAGAGATGGCGGAAATGACGGAGAAGACGGATTAATAGAAGATACAGAGGAGATGAAGAGGAGGAGGAGGAGGAGGAGGAGGCTGGAGCAGATAAAGTGCTGAGAGATATGGTCGAAAATGGAGGGGACGAAAAGATGGTGGCATAAGAAACTTAGAAGGGAAGGGAAGGGAAGGGAAGGGAAGGAAAGGAATGGAAAGAAGGAGCGGGAAGAGAAACAAGAGGGCCAGGAAGAGAAGAAGGAGAGGGAAGAGAGAGAGAGAGAGAGGAGAGCACGGAGAGGGATACGAGACGGGAGATGAAGGAGAGAAGAAAAAGAGACGGGAGATGGAGAAGAAAGAAGGATAAAAGAAGGGGAAGGCAAAGCGAGGAGCAATGAGCGGAAGAACAGACCTGAAGAGGCGTAGGTGGTAAAGGTGGCAGGATAGGTGATGTAGGTTATTTCTGCAACGTGCACCTCAGCCTGTGATTAATTACTTTATCTGAAACCCGGCATACTTCGTGCTCGTGCAGCATGTGATTGAACCTCACGAAAGTTTGAGAGGCCTCCACTGCAGAGAATCACATAACATATTCCTATGTGCTTATATTTACCTTTAATTTAGTATTCTCTTTCCTTTCGATGTCAATACTTGGGAATAAATTCAAGAACTGGTAATCTGTGCAAGACTGGTTTAATTTCTTCCTAAGCTACTGCCTTTTTCCACTTCCTTCCTCCGAAAATGTTCTCCCCGCATCCCGTAGAAGTAAAAAAGAGTGTTTATGTTACACAATTTTTGATTCGAAAGATACCCACTTTATGAAATGTTAAGAACCAAACGTGTTAAAAATTGCATTTACGAAAAATACATATTTTATTTAATTATTGTTTTCTATTACGCCCAACCTCCATCCATATCCTGTTCAGTGGGTAAACCCCACAGTTGTAAGGCATGTGTCAAAAAGCAGAGCTCTACTGTGAACCGCGGATTCCGCCTGGCGGCCGGCACGGGCCAGTGCGTTTGGCCCGCGTCCAGATGCAATCGGGCAATCGCCAATTACGGCGAATAGACGCCCAGAACCGCGCGTTAATTAATTACAAGACGCGACCCCTTTCGCCGCCTCCGCCGCCCGTGCCGCTTCAATTTTGGGAGTTGCTTGATGCACAGCCCGGGTGCGCCGCGCCTTCCCTCTGCCGTGATGAGTAGCGACGCGCCCGCCCTCTGCCGTGATGAGAGGCCGGCGGGCGAAGCCAGTTAGCCCTCTAAACACCGCGTGCGTATGTGGAGCACCTCACGACGTGCATCGTATGAGGATATGCTAGTACTCGCTCCAGCGCTCTCGTTGAATAGCGATTTAAGTTTGTATCCAGACTTCTTATTAGCAGGAAATTAACATGCAATTCGAATCTCTCGGGATAAGGTAATGGTGTTCAGAAAGGGAAGCAGCTGGGGAAACTTGGCTCAGATCCCGTCTTAAAATGAAGTCCCGACAATTGTTTTAATAGAAAACATACAAGTGTATTTATACAGTGTATTTATTTTTAACACAATTTTAACTAAGTTAAATATTCCAAAAAGTAACATTCAACACAAATCTCTAAGGATAAGACATTGACGGAAATTCATGTTTTGTCTTTGACTGTATAAGTAACAATGCAATTCTATGTGGTTAATATTAAAATATCCTTGAAGGCATACATCAATTATTTGTTCTCGATATAAATCTAGCTACATCAGCACATAATTTTTCGCGTTATTCGAAACGGCTACACAATACTGCCGTACTATTTGATCCTGTAAATTCAGAGAATTTGACGAAAATTAAATCTGCATCATTTTATAGGCGTCAAAAAATCTAAAAATGTGAAGTCTTTTTTGAGAAAAAGGTTATATTGAAAATTTTGAAGATTTTTATAAAGTACACCGATATCAAAATACCGTTTGGAAACATCGCGTTTAGACAAATCGATCAGGGAATGTCAACTTTGGAGAAAATAGTCTCTAAGTTTTAGGCACCGTGTTGTTCATAGACAGACCCACCAGATGTTTTGCTGTTAACCAATGTTTTGGTATCAAGGATCCATAAAATATAGATTCTGACTACACAACGCATTTAAGGGAAATAATTTACTTCATGTAGGATGAACATTCATCCACTTTCTCAATATCAGGGACTTATAATACGAGTTTTGTCGGCAAATCTCCTCTTTCCGCTGCATAATAACAATAGTATGTCTTTTCTACGTAAGTATATAGTAGGTGGGTATGGAAAACTGTAAGGGGAAAAGTTTAAATCAGATATCTAAATAATCATATTAAAAGATTCCAATTCCAAATTTATCTACCAATGTGCATCAAATTATATGCAACTGAAATCACAAACATTCCCTGGCTGTGAAAATAACACACTTTTATTGGAATGTTTGTGGAAGTAAATTGACAAATACACCAGCACCTAATAAGACGAGAACCCTTGAAAATAGAAGTGAATTCTATAGAGGAAGTGCCTCAGTCCTTGACGACAAAGTCCTCCTGCACGGCTTACTTTTCAATTACACTCTATAAAACCATTATAAGACCCATTATGTTATATGCTTTCCCAACTGAACAAATCCGCAACATTCAACATAAACAACGTGCAACTAGTTTAGAACAAATTCTTTAGATTAATTACAAACATCCAATGGTTTATTTCAATTCAACAATTCCATAAAGAATTAAATAGTAACTCAATTACCAAATAGCACGTTTATCCAATAATTTCTACCCCAACATAAACACAATAGAACAATTAAAACAATACAACTTAGCCTCAACAAACAATATACAAATCAGAATAAACAACATACCCCTTACATTTCTTCTTAAAATATTTTTCAAGAATTGTAAACAGTAGGTACTTTCATGCAATACCTACCCAAACATTTTCATAATAGAATTAGGTTAAGCATAGTTTAAGTTAGTGGGAAGTCATCAATACATGTGAGATAGTGTAAACTGAACTATGTATAATTAAAACAAGCATTAAAGGGGGGAAACCTTACTTTTCAGGGGCTTGAGTGTTCACTTTTGACTTCATACACGCGTTTTTTAATTCTCAGAACTATGTAATTCGCATGAAACAATCACAAAGTAACGTCGTTATTACGCTTTTTATTTCATCAATAAATTCACTCCTAAACAACAAGCACATAAAACGAAATCCATGTACGAAATTGGGACTTGCCCTCACGTGGACGCGTTTGAATCGGACTCTGCGCCCAGATGGTTCTCGACGGGCTCCCCGTCCAGCATCTCCAGCCACGGCACGAACTCTCGTATCGCCGCCTG